CATTTAAAGGTTAATTCGGAAATTACCAATTTCTGAATAATTAAATACCAAGGTTTATATCTCAACATGGTGATCCCATTTAAATCGCACTTCAAAGACATTAAGTGAAGCTTGAGTGCAGTGGAGCTTGAAATGATTGAATCTAGTATGACAAGGCAGTCACTTCACGCCTGGCCGGTCAGCCCTCTGACCCATGTAGACTTGGTGTCCGAGTAATGTTTGGGAGCCCTCTAACAGGGAGTTTGTAGCAACACTGTAGCTAGGAGGTGTTTGCTGAAGCTGTTTGTGTTAGATGGAAGACCTTAGCAATGTGGTCTTTCTACATTGTGGCTTTTCTCCATCTTTAAAAATTTATTATTCCTGTTTTGAACATGTTAAATTTTGTTACTTCGATAGCTTATCTGCTTGGTTCTAAATGTTGAAATCTTTTGTTTGAAAATGTCGTGGGTGATATATTAGGTTGAAATTGGATATTCATGATAGAATTTATCTATTTGCACATTCATGTGTACATTAATGAATATGATTTATTAAATGAAAGTCATATTTTTGGCAGTGCTGTATTTCATAGGTTCATGAGCCTTAACATGAACCCTCCATCCATATGCATACAGTATGCATTAGCAAGGCTTCAATGAATCTAGATCAGCTCGTTATATCTCATGCTAAAGTGGTTCGAATGCAGACACAAAAGATCAGTTTGCCAAATGCCAGTGAACAAACATATAACATTAAGACTGAAACTACCTTTTTAAATCTCCATGTCCTTGCAAACGAGGAATACAAATAGCCATCAGAGTTTGCTCCATGTAATCAGAGATGAAAAAATCTACATTACCAATGAGCCAAATGGCTTCTAGAGACTGGCTTTAATGTTTATTCTCCAAGACAAGATGTAAATTAGAAATTCCTGTTTTTTTGACTACATATTGACTGTAGGGTTCTGCAGCAAAGACTAAAGCTGGAAGAAGCCTCACACAGATGGCTGATTCGAACCGGCAGCTGCTGCAGCCTTTATTGTCAGCCAAGGACTTCTACCGCTGTTGGCTACATGTCTTGCCCCAGCTTGGTCAATTGTTAACTCTCCTTCAGCCTACCCTATTGATTGCCATTGAGAGCCTGCTAGTCAGATAAGATTGTGGTATTTATTATTAATAAGTGGCGCTATTAGCAGAACAGGCCTGATTAGGGTTTGTGTAGACAGTGCCCGCTGCCAGTATCAACTTAATTGAAATTGTTCAGTGTGTTCAGCTTCCTGTTGAATTGGTGATGTGTATACCTTAGGTGTAGTCCTAAGTGTTGTTTGATTTTAAACCCAGTTAATCCTTTGTGGAGCCAAACATGCCATTTAGACAAGGTTTTGTCAGGTCATGATGTTATCGTTAAACATCCAATTTAATTCTGCTCACGTGACCAAGGATCTACTGTAAATTTAACACCATTACCTTATGGGCTGGAAAATGTTGCCATTCAACATTGAAAGTGTTACAAGTCTGAAGAAAATTCTATGTTTTTGTTATTAATAACCCGCAGATAAGGTCTTAATCATCAGATGCAAATATGATTCAGTAACATGCCTGGAAGCATCTTTTGATTATACTCTGAATTCATCAAGTTCAAATATCCATGAATTGGAGCACAAATTGAATTATCAGCACAAATAGCCGCAGATGAAATGGGATGTGGTTTATTTGCTGTCTGTAATAACATACTTCCGGAAACCAAAGATGAAAGGAAAGGTCTTTGTTGCAGCCTTGATAATTTTGCCTGGAACAGCAATAATTATGTTTCACTTATGAGATAAATAAACCGAGGCCCTGGTCCTTTTCATCTGATGAAGAGAGGAACTGTGGAAATGCTGTAACAAGCTGGATATTATCACCACTGGATGCTCCGCCCATATTACATGTTGAAATGGTGGTAAGAGGGCTTATCAGGCGGTATATCCTGTCAGAAGGGCTGTGTGCAATAGGGCCACTTATCATATCCATCTGAGGTTGCTGAAGCCTGCAGCACATGTCTAGGGCCTATTATTTGTAGAATGGGATATTCACTCATATAGACTTGGAGTGCAGATTGGGAGCTGAAATGGAGTGTTCTTTCATGTGGTGTCTGGAGGGGCACTGATAGAATAACAGTCTTGTCTCATTTTGGATTGGATTTTCACAACATGGGGAAATGTTTTTCTAATCATGCCTTTGTTTCTGAATGTTTTGACTGATCTGAAGACCTGGACCCCATCCTTTAAATGATCTAAGCTCAAACTCTCACATTAACATAGACTTGAAACAGTGCAGGGCTAAAATGGATTTGTACATTTTTCTGATTTGGTCAATAAGGATTTGGAATTTGAGAGGTTGGAAGTTGTCCTGTACTGATGATGAAATTATCCCCTGCTCTCAGAGGTGGTGAAGGATAATTGCATAATTACATGGTAAATAGTACATTTTGCTGATTGTGTATTTCAATGTTAAGCTGTGATGCCCCTTCCTTTCAAAACAAAGGAATTCCTGTCTTGAATGAAGAGAAATACTATTTTTTATGCTTTGAGGGTATCGTTAATAATCATGTACAGTTCCACACATTACTGCAAACTATCCTCTTCACACCAGATGGGTTAGATTACAGTGCAGCTTGCAGACCATGTTTTTATCATCATGTTCACTATCCCTTGGCAACATAATTTGATAGTACTGTAAACCCAGGTTGCATAATTCGAAAGCACAACACTTGCATTGCTGACACTGAACACCAGCCAGACCAGTGAGTGATGAGCCAGCTCCATGCACTGACATCAGCCCCAGTAGTCTGCATGGGAAGCAATCACAAGCTCCACATCCCACCAACCAGTCCAGGGATCACATTTAAAATAAACACTTACCAAGTACATTCATTTGGCTGGCAGGTGCCCTGGGGCTCAACACCCACTTTCCTTTCAACTCCCATGTTCTCTGGCTTGTACAAACTAACGATTTGTTATGGGAAGACATTTTTATTTTGGGAGGGAAGTCAGGGTCCCAGGGGCATTAGTGTGATATTGTTAAGGCTCAGGTCTCAACCTTCCACTGCAGACTACTGCATATCACCATACAGATTTCTCCATCATCTTTACATTTAAAAACATTCTCCCCAAACATCATCTGAATGATGAGTTAGCATAGAGGATTTAAAACAAGCAGTTGTCGTATCCAAAGACACAGTTACTGTTTCATCAATCACTGAGCATGTTCTGTATGAGGAGGAATGCAATGTTGGGAGGATGGTTTTTGTACGCTTCTGTGTGAACAGAGCTGATGAATAAGTCACACACCAAGGCACTGTCACTGTCTACTTATTGATTATTCTCAGCATGTGTTGTAATTTGGCTAACACCGAAGCAGACTTGATAGGATTGCATGTTTGTCAAGTTGGTAGAGTGTTAAATCAAGGAGACATTGATTGTAGACTGACATGTGTTAATTTGATCTTGGCAAGAGCCGAAGCCGCAGCAATGGAGTAGGTGCTTTTACCAAGTGCTTTTTCCTCCATTGTCAAGACCTTCTGGCTCAGTTGCCGGAATCCTGTCACTGAAATGACCTAACATTTCCTGTTTAGTTTCAAGTAACGCGCCTAAGAAGGCCGAAATAATGATCAACTTTCCTCTTTGGATTGTTATATTCTTTCCACGACTCTGCATTCATTATTGGTATTATCTTGGTGTTTAATTTCTTCTACATATACTGCTCAAAACAATGACTGATTATAGCAACATGAAATAACTGAGGTGTTCTTCACTTATTTTGAGTAGTATACATTTATTCTTAATCGGTACGTAATTTACACCATGATTTCATGTTTCACTACCAGTATTCTAAATGACTGAGGTATCCATGGGGCAAGACAGATTAAGTGTAGTTTAAATGAAGAAGCAGGTGTTCTCTAACATCTTTTGAGCAGTATACATATATTCTTAATCAGCACAATAACTGCTGTTAAAATCTAGGGCTGGCCTTCAATTTTCTGTGAAAATGGTTAAGTTGTTTGAGTGGCATTTTATAAGTTGGGATGTACAATATTGAACAAACTTTGTGGATAACAAATTATTTTTTGTTGTGAGTGTGATGTTTCCATACAGATTCTTGTACCGTGCTTCACAACGGTACAAGAATCTGTACCGTGCTTCACAACGGTACAAGAATCTGTATTGTGCTTCACAACGGTACAAGAATCTGTATTGTGCTTCACAACGGTACAAGAATCTGTATTGTGCTTCACAACCGTACAAGAATCTGTATTGTGCTTCACAACGGTACAAGAATCTGTATTGTGCTTCACAACGGTACAAGAATCTGTATTGTGCTTCACAACGGTACAAGAATCTGTATTGTGCTTCACAACGGTACAAGAATCTGTATTGTGCTTCACAACCGTACAAGAATCTGTATTGTGCTTCACAACGGTACAAGAATCTGTATTGTGCTTCACAACGGTACAAGAATCTGTATTGTGCTTCACAACGGTACAAGAATCTGTATTGTGCTTCACAACGGTACAAGAATCTGTATTGTGCTTCACAACCGTACAAGAATCTGTATTGTGCTTCACAACCGTACAAGAATCTGTATTGAAACATCAAACTCATGAAATAAAAGAATGTGTTGTCCATAAAGTTTGTTCAATAAAATGGTTAAGGTACTCTTTCTCTTTTTCCCTGCCTGTTATATAATAAGGAAGAATGACTAATGAGAATTAGTTTCCATCTTTGTGTATTATACACGAATTATCACAAACCAAGGAAGAAAGACTTTCATTTTAACAAAAAATTAAATGAAACATAATTTTAATATCCCAGTTAACATTTGGTGATTAATATTGCCAGTGAACATTTCACTTCTTTATCAGATTATTTTGAAATGCTTTCATGGCTTTTTTCAATATCAATTGAGGTAATAAATTGGTCATTAATTTTACTTTAGAATGAATGCTCAGCATTATTCTTAATTGTCTTCTTGTCGTTACAGCTCCAATGTTGATGTCTCATTCTGCTGCTGCAACTGCTGCCCTGCAACATCCATACAACTCCAAATAAGGGCATGGAAGATGTAAATTTGAAACCTAACCTCCAAATATGGTTTGGGCGAATATAAAAGTGGAATTGAAAATATCACGAATTGACAAGATTGATGGATAATGGAGTACCATATTACCCTGTGGATAATCTACACTGATGGATGTGTTGCATGCAAATTGTGGAATTTGATGGACCTACTTCTGACATGGAAAATGATCCCAGCATTAAGTGATAAGCTTATTTATTTGGATTCCATTAAAGTTTAAGAGATTGTTGAGCAAGTGGCAAATCAAGTTTGTGAAGGAAAAGATTGAATTTGATTTTGAATCAACCTGATTTCATTGTGGATTGGTTATAAAGAGTGCTGTGTGGTCTGTAAACAAGATCCAAGGGCGAATATTGTGATAAAACGTTACATTTGGTGCAGAAGGCAAAACGCCTGCAGAGGAACGCTTCAAGAATTGGCAGCTAGCCAATTCAAGTCTATCATCCTTCGAGGGAGGAATAATATTTGATGTTCTAATTGACTTGTGCATAAATGTTTTATTACTGCCATAATCTAAATGGGCACATTTCAAATACTGTGCTGTGAAATTTAATCAGTCAGGGACTGTGAATGCTTAAACTTTGATCAGACTCGTAAACTGCAGGAGCAGTTTAAATAATTGAATATTGAATATTATAACTTGTGGTGACTTATCTCTATCCCATTGTGAATAAATGATTACAGGAGTGGGATTACGTACATATTGAACGAGAACGGCTATAAACATTACCCAAGAACATAACTGACAAGCCCCAAACTATCAAGGACATGATTGATGGATTTGAGTGTGTTCATCCTGGGATGTTTGGACAATAAATTGTGGTGTAGCATATAGCATATGTTTCACATACAAAATATCCTCAACTGAGGGATATGTGACTCCATACCCAGACTGCCTGTGGCTGTTGGAAGGAGGAAGGATATACCGGCATGCCTATTGTGGCTTGGCCAGTGGTATGACAGTCATTTTATCTTCCTTTCTGCAAGTGTGAGCTAACCCAGAGTAGGACTCCAAACAATGGGCCCTGGGCTATGAGTGAACTCTGCGTGGTTCTAATCACACATGTGTCCTGCTTCCCTAGAACTGTGTACATTTGTGTTCAGGAAAAACAAACAGCATTTTATTGTAACTCACAGCCCTATGGTGTTACCCGAGCACTCTTCCCTTAGAGAGGGGCTTCACAATGTGTTATCCAGGGCAGTGTTGTGCTGGTGATATGGGCTTGCTTTCACCATGATTTGTTTGAAAAATGCAAGGTGTAATGAAAACATCAATGGACTGACTAATGTCACTTATTTACCAGTGCATAACATCATCAATATTTTTTCTTTCCAAGGGACCACCCTATACAGGCTGATTTGAAATAACTTCAATATGGCCGCCACTATTTGTGGTTGTTGTGTATGAGTGGATTTCTGTGGCAGCTCGTACTATTTGTTCCCTGGCAAGTAGAGCCAGTTTATATATCCTCATATAAATCTATAGGCCATAGCGCTTTGCTGTAGAAAGTACGAAATCAGAAAAAAAGAGACGTTTTATTTGTGTATTATTCTATTGTTTTTCCATGTAGAACGTTTTGCCAGTGTGAATGGTGTGAGTGGGTGTGTATATATATGTATGACTGTTGTGAGCTAGGCACATTAATCATTAGTCAAGATTTCATCATTTTGCCACCCGTTGAGGGCCCCAGTGCCCATTAAGTTGCTTGAATGAGTTCTACATTGTTTGTATAATAAACAAACTTTATTGAGATCTACACATAGTGCATGTTGTTTTTTATGAGGTTGCTCTTACAGTGACATTTCACCACCTGGAAGGCCTTTAATTACCTTCCTCAAGCCAGTCTCCTCCAATGACTCGGATAACCTAAGGGTATGGAGCCGTAGCTCTGAAATAAATCCTTCACTGGTGTCAATCCTTTGAAAGTTAATTTATTTGCTTATTCAGTGCCACCAGATATTAACTTTGAAATGACAGTGTGATTTATCTGAGCTTTGGGGTAATATGGTTAGGAAGAAATCAAGACATGGCTTTTGTGTTCTCAGGGGCCAGAGGGGTTGGGCTGAGGAGGTGTCAGTTTAATTCAGCTACAGAGAACATATGGAAAGATAATTACTTCTAAAAAGGATATTAGTTCAGGTAAATATAGGTCTTTGAATAGGAGTTTTAAGACAATGATAAATAAAACCAGTGTTTTTATGGGTGATGTGGATAATTTTGAACTGCTTCAAAGATTCTTTAGATGTGTGAGGCTTTGACAGAACACTAGACCAATAGTCAGTGACTACTGAAAAGCAGGAAGGTCTAACCACTTTACTTAGCCTGACATTTAGTCCCCAAAATAAAGTCAAACTATTTTTAAAATAATATATATTTACATGTTGGGAAAATATTAACTGAATCTCAGAACACTGTTTAATTTCAGATAGATCAAGTTTAGTGAATGAAGATTTGAGTTGAACTCCTATATTCAGCCTCTTGGCTTTTACACAAACCAAGTTGTTGCTAGTTCGACCTATAAGGCGGATTTAAATCATGATGTATTCCTCTTGTACACATCTTGAGAATTAGATAGTTCCATTTGCAATGATATGAGATCAGATATACAGACTGATAGAATAGCATCCACTCTTGCCTTGTTAGGGATTACACATGTTCAAGAGAACCAACATAACACCGTCCCAGAATCTGGGTGTGATGGCAATCTTCACCGAGATTGATAAAACAGATACTGTTCTAAACCTATCAGACAGGTCTGTTAATATTCACTTCCTAAGGGTACTTGAAACACTTTAACAGCTAGTATTACATCCATCTTCCCAACAACCGGCTCCCAAGCCGCCACTGAACAATAGAGTGAAGCAATCAGACTCGGTCGATGGCGGGGCTACTTGCGGAGCTTTATGCAATCCGACCTTCTGCGGCTCTTTTCAGATCCAATTTCTCCAAGACCGTGTAAAATATTCACTTTTTGTCTTTTAGGTCGTAATTGTTTTTTCCTTGAAAGATGTAAACCCAAATGAGAATTCAGTGAAATGGAAACTTCTTCGGTATCTGGGATCTTTTTAGGATCTGAATGGTTTGCCCTAGGATGACTGGTTTTTGTGGGAAAGATTTTACCAGGTTTTTACTGTCGAGCTGGGAAACATGCCGCGAGGCAGGCTAGTCGGTGTGTAGAGTTCAGGCCCACACACATACAGAACACACGTGCTGAGAAGATGGTCATTGTGCGCGGTCGAGCAGCAATTTTGGAAATTAGGTCTTTAAACATTTTGAACCCGAACATTCAATATCAGTAACATGAATTCGAAGAGTTACAAGTTGATTGTACGATGTATGTGTGTACCCAACAATCGTTGTCTTTAAGAACATCATCAATTTTGTAATGGGTCATTGCAAACATTAGCTATTGAACCTATTCAGTATTGAATTCACTTTACTGAAGAAACTAGAGGTGTTGAGTCATAAACATGCAGCATTAAGGATAAATGCTGCCTTGGGACAATGAACAGTTCTGAATGACGCCCTGGGCAGGAAGCCAAGTGGGCTTTGTGCTCAATTCAGAAGCTATTAATGACGCACGTAATAACGAATACCCTTGATCCTATATCATTTAGTTAAATATATCTATTTGTGTTGAATGCATGTATTGTATTAACAGTGAAACAATAATAACTTCCAACACACCCATAGAATCAAATTATTGTATTGTACAAAATACGCTCAAGGGCAAGGCACAAAATGTAAACTGCTAATATAATATATTTTACAAAACTCGGTGTGAACCCATTTACCAAATGGAACACCCCTTTGAACTTGCGTACAGGGAGGGACTCGATACGACAAATGAGAGCTTACAGAATAAACAGTACATAATGTAAACGCCATACAAAGAATGTTTCATTTGGAGAAGAAACATGAAAATTTAAAGAGCTAAAAGCAACAAAAACACAAAAGTAATTAAGAACACAAAACCCTTCAGTGTTTATATTCGTGTGTCCAAGATTATCGGTATACCTCTGGCGTATACAATAGGTTTATTGTAAACTTCAAAGCTGAAACTATAATAAGTTCATTTCTAGTCCATTTTGCTGGTTATCTTAAGCCATACTTAATATCTGGTTATGATTATCTTCCAGTTTAACTGGTCATTGTTAGCTCCACTTCATATCTAACTGGTAATGTTTTATCTCTCCTCTGGGGCGGTGGGGTAGCCTAATGGTTAAAGCGTTGGCTCGTCACACCGAAGACCCGGGTTCGAATCCCCACATGGGTACAATGTGCAAAGCCCATTTCTGGTGTCCCCCGCCGTGATGTTGCTGGAATATTGCTAAAAGCGGCGTAAAACCAAACTCAGTCAGTCAGTCAGTTGTCTCTCCTCTAACTGGTTATAATTTAGCCCTGCTCTATATCTCGACTACTCTATATCTAACCGGTAATGTTTTGTCTCTCCTCTAACTGGTTATAATTTAGCCCTGCTCTATATCTAGACTACTCTATATCTAACCGGTAATGTTTTGTCTCTCCTCTAACTGGTTATAATTTAGCCCTGCTCTATATCTAGACTACTCTAAATCTAACCGGTAATGTTTTGTCTCTCCTCTAACTGGTTATAATTTAGCTCTTTAGCTGGTTATAATTTCTCTATATCTAGACTACTCTATATCTAACCGGTAATGTTTTGTCTCTCCTCTAACTGGTTATAATTTAGCTCTGCTCTATATCTAACTGGTTATAATTTAGCTCTGCTCTATATCTAGACTACTCTATATCTAACCGGTAATGTTTTGTCTCTCCTCTAACTGGTTATAATTTAGCTCTGCTCTATATCTAGACTACTCTATATCTAACCGGTAATGTTTTGTCTCTCCTCTAACTGGTTATAATTTAGCCCTGCTCTATATCTCCAGACTACTCTAATATGTTTTGTCTCTCCTCTAACTGGTTATAATTTAGACTACTCTATATCTAGACCTCTATATCTAACCGGTAATGTTTTTGTCTCTCCTCTAACTGGTTATAATTTAGCCTGCTCTATATCTAGACTACTCTATATCTCTGTCTCTCCTCTAACTGGTTATATTTCTGCTCTATATCTAGACTAGCCCTGCTCTATATCTAACCGGTAATGTTTTGTCTCTCTTCTAACTGGTTATAATTTAGCCTCTGCTCTATATCTAGACTACTCTATATCTAACCGGTAATGTTTTGTCTCTCTCTCTAACTGGTTATAATTTAGCTCTGCTCTATATATCTAGACTACTCTATATCTAACCGGTAATGTTTTGTTCTAACTGGTTATAATTTCTCTCCTATATCTAGACTACTGGTATCTAATAATTTTGTCTCTGCTCTGGTTATAATTTAGCTCTGCTCTATATCTAGACTACTCTATATCTAACCGGTAATGTTTTGTCTCTCCTCTAACTGGTTATAATTTAGCTCTGCTCTATATCTAGACTACTCTATATCTAACCGGTAATGTTTTGTCTCTCCTCTAACTGGTTATAATTTAGCCCTGCTCTATATCTAGACTACTCTATATCTAACCGGTAATGTTTTGTCTCTCTTCTAACTGGTTATAATTTAGCTCTGCTCTATATCTAGACTACTCTATATCTAACCGGTAATGTTTTGTCTCTCCTCTAACTGGTTATAATTTAGCCCTGCTCTATATCGGTAATGTTTTGTCAGCTAACTACTCTCTAGACTACTCTATATCTAACTGGTAATGTTTTGTTCTCTAACCGGTACTGTCATCCTCTAACTGGTTATAATTTAGCCCTGCTCTATTTCTAGACTAATTAACTAACTTACTATTTATAATTAGCTCTGCTCAATATCTAACTAGAAATGTTCATCATATTTTTAACTGTAATGCTTTGTCTCTCATCTAGCTCTGCTCCATATCTGACTGGTTATGTGCAGCTAATACATTATTGCTTGTGTTTAGCTCTACGTCATGTGTAACTGGTAATGTTGATCTCATATGGTCAGGTTAAACTTTAGTCCATATGAATCTGGTTATGTGTATATCCACTCCATATCTTACAGGTTAAGGCTATCTCCTATCTAGATGGCTATGTTACATCTAATCCAGAGATAAGATCACGTCGTATGAGGGTAAAGGTTATGACTGCAGTTTAAATCTGACTTGAAGGGAGTCAGCAGAACATGCGTTTAGTGATTCACTGAAGAAAGAAATGCAAAATGAATAAATGCTTTAATACCCAAATCAGTACACACATTAACACGATGAACAGAAAACATTGATAACACGATAATTAACCATGGGAAGCTATGGTTACCAGCCAGTGTGGATGTTTCTATACTACTCAGTGACCGCTTATGACCGAAACAATCCAGGCGAACATGAAGCTACTTATCAACAACAGTTAGTCGTAGTTGATATTGTATGAATAATAAAATGTAGACCCATTCCTGATGTCCCCCGCGGTGATATGGTCGGGGTATTGCTAAAGCGGGCGTAAACCCATCCTTACTCGCAAAGGAAAATCTGGAAAAACAACTATTAAATGCATCTTTGAAGATTACAAAAGCTGTCAATCGTGAACATACCCTGACCTATCTGTAAAGATCCACAAAACATGTTTTTCTTAAAGAATATTTTATCACTCTTTTTATGTCAGAGACAAATTATATACAGCCCTTAAAAGCGTTATGTTAGTGAACAGAGAAGGGCTGGGCTAAGGATGCTGAATATAGACTCTTACCTCGTTTCTTTTGATATCAAAT